GTCTTGGCCTGTGCCTCTCCTCCTGGGGCTGCCTGTCACTTCTCCCTGGCCTGGCGTCCCTGGCTGCCGGTCCTGAGCCAGGCCGTGTCATGTTAAGTTTTCCTCCATGATCCTCAAACATCCACTTAACCTGCCTTCTGATTGAGCCTCCATTGCCCCCCTCATCGTTGGAGTCCCAAGCACTTTCGTGTGTCCTGCAAGTGGAGCTCTGGGGCGGCTGACCCCAGGCTGCAGGTTGACCCCGCCCTTCTCCTGACAGCCCCCCGCCACAGCACAGGCCCTCATCACCTCTGCCTGGACCACCCGAGGGCCTGGGGCCTGTTTCCTGAAACCCCTTCTCTTCATGAGCACCCACTCCCGCCATATTTCCCCTTCCTCAGGATAAACTGGAAGCCTCTCCTGGCCTGGAAGGTCTGTCCTTGCTCTCCCAACGGCTGCGGTGCCCTGTGGAACGGTTTCACTGGCAGCTCCTTGACAATTGTCCCCAGTCAGTCCGTCCAATCCATCTGGCCCTAGCTGCTCCCCAAGCACCACTCAGCTCAGCCTGCAAGTCCCTCAACGGCACCCCCTGCACTGATCTGTTTAGTGGCTGAATGGTCTCTCTGCTAGGCTGTAAAGAGCATGGGGGGACCTGAGCCACTTTTTATCACCACTGGATCCCTAGGACTTGGTACATGGTAGGTGCTTAACACAGGGCTGCTGCACCAAGGACGGACAGAAAGGAACCTGGACACCAGGGAGCAGCCAGCTGCAGGCCGAGGCTGCCCCTCTGTGGCCACTCTGAGCAGTGCAGCCTCCCCACCTCGCCCTCAACCCTGGACAAAGAGCCCCTGAGCCCCACCCCGCCCCCCTCCCTGCCTGGATGGAGCCCACAGCCACCAGGTCTCAAGGACCCCCGTTTTCTCCAAGAAAAACCTGCCCCTTGCCCAAGAATGGGTTGGAATTATCCTCCAGAGGGGCTTCCTCCCCAGAGGCTGAGGACCAAGGGGCAGGTGGGCCTTCCCTGGCTGGGAGGACTGGCAGTGGGAACCCCTGGCCTGGTAAACCCTGTGGGTGTAGGGAGGAGTTGGCCTGTCAGAGGCCCCCAGGCTGGGGGAGGGGCGGGAGAGGAGGGGGGAAGGTTGGGGGGAGGGGAGGGGAGAGAGACAGGAGTTCAGGTGAGAGACAAGGCAGGAGCTCCTGACCAGGTCCCTGGCCAGGCCAGCGTGGTAGAGCCTGGGGCGCTCAGGATGCCCAGCAGTGCTCCAGCCCCTGGCTGAGGCTGAGGCCTGGGATGCACATGGGAACCCGCGAGACCCCCTCATGCCCTGGGATCTCGTGTCTGGTTTGGTCTGGGGGCCAGGGACCCGCACCCTGAGTCCAGAAGGTGAGAGGGCGCCTCCCCAGAGCACTGACTGGGTGCGGTGAGCACATTTTAAACATCTTCAAACTGGAACAAGCCAAAGTATTATGCACGAGGCACATAATTCCTTCTTAAAAACCTGAAAAATACAACCTCTGAAGTGTTTCTGGCTTCTCGAAGGCCCCACCCTCCAGGGGCCTGTGGGGGAGGTCGGAGGCCTCTCGGCGTCCCTCTGGTTTAACATCTCTGGACGCGTCCCAGCTCACCTCACGTGCTGAGGGACAGACGGGGGACACTGCAGGCTTAAAGCAGCTGCCTGGGGCCCAGGTGGCAAAGCCAGAAGGGGTGGAACCTGGGGGATGGGGTCTCTCCCCAGGTGCTGGGTTAACCTCAGGAGCCCCCGCCCCAATCTCAGGATGGAACATGTGGAGGGCTGTGGACTGACGCTGGGCCCGGTTCCCGGCCTCCCGCTTGCCCTGCACAGCTCGGTGAGGAACGGAATGTGGGTGGAGAAGGCCTCTGGGAGGGGCTCCCTCACCTCCCTCTTGAGCGGGGCCACATAAGCCCAGGAGTTGGTGGCAGGGTCGTAGCGCTCCACGGCACTCAGGTCATTGTGGTAGTCGCGGCCGGCCACAGCGTAGATGTGCTTGCCCACGACACACACACACAGGTCGGCGTGCTCCTGCTGCAGGGGCTGGATCTGGAACCAGCGGTTGTGCCTTGGATCGTACCTGGTGGGGACAGGGGGCCAGCATATCACGGACGCAAGCGCTAGCTCAGCGGGCCCGTACCTCCTGCTGTGCCCAGGAACCCGGCCCCTCCCTCCCCAGCTGCTCCTGATGCTGGAGCTCAAGCGCAAGTGTGTCCCCTGCACGCAGCCTTCTGGGTTCTGCCCAGGGCGCCAGGCTCTTCCAGGGGTAACTTCGTGGGCAGTTTCCAGGCCCCCAACTGTCTATCTTCCAAGCTGCCCCATGGCTGTCCCTACAGCCATGTCTCACCTGTCTCACCTTAAGGACCCCAAAGCCCCGCCCTCCATCAATGGTGTCCCTGTTTATGGCCTCTTGGCTGGACGGACAGAGTCGTCTCCAGCCGGTACTTCCTCACGTGTGGTCCAGGCCAGGCCAGGCCACAGCCCTGCCCACACTGGCATTTCAAAGGCATCCCCTAAGTGTCCTGGCCCATCCCCCAGCTCCCCAGCAGCTCCTCCTGGCTGTGGGTGCCTCCAGGAAGGGGGCTGGCTGGCTGGAGGAACAACCCGCCGGGCTAAGGGGCGGCAGGGGCGGGGCGGGGGCAGGGCAACCTCCACACCCCTCTCAAGGGGACACAGCTGTCCCAAATCAGAGCCCTGCAGTCTCCTCTCCCTGTCAACCTGCGTGACAAAACCTCACGCCCAAGCACCTGGCATGGAGATGCCCCCCAGCCCTGCCCCCTTCTGCCTTCACAAGGCTTCACCTTCTCAACCCAGGTAACCTCAGCCGCTGCAGGGCGCCCAGCCACCACCTCGCGCATGCTCTTTTCACACTGCTGGTGCTGCCCACCCACCATGGCTGTTCACCTACCCTGCCCGGGACTACACGGGACAGCGCCCATCCCACCCACCCTCACCAGCCACGCCCCTGCTCACACCAGGACCCTCACACCTGAGCCTCGCAGCCAAGGCTCCTGAAAGCCCAGGGCCAGCCCCACCTTCCAGCAGCCAGCACCTGCCTCAGCTGGGCCCTCCCTGGGGGCCTCCCACTGCCCTTCCCCGACTCTCCAGGCCCCAGGTTGCCACTCTGCTGGGTACAAGGCAGGGGTGCTGAGTGGACACAGGTGACCACAAGCCCCAAGGGGCCAGGATTCATGAGCCCAAGGCCCACAGCCCACTCCCCAACTGCATCTGTCTGGCGCCCTGCCCAGCTTCCACCCATGCATCAGCTGCTGGGCATGCCTGCTCAACAGCCATGCACAACGGCAGCCTCCTGGTCAGGGCTCTATTTCCACAGAGATCAACTCCAAAAAAGATTTCTTTAGCTTTTGTCCCAAACACAAGTGAGACACCCTCAACCACCGCTAATTCCCACGCAGCACCCACTGCAGGCCAGGAACACAGGACCTTGGGCACTGGAGTGATGCCGCCTGCCTTGAAACAGAACCTGACCCTACCTGTGAAAAGGGAAGGGCAGAGGACCAGACTCTTAAATAAAAGTAAGGTCCACCTGGCAGTGTTGAGTCCACTGGGAGATGGATGAACCTTTCCCTCTACAGAGACAAGACCTGGGGCCTGCCCACCATCTTGTCAGTTGCTCTGCACCCTAGTCCACCTGGCCAAGTCTCACCAACCCCCACCGCAGGACCCAATCCTGGCCCCAAGATGTGATAGGGACGTGAAGGCAGTGGGCACCTGGCTCACAGCTGCCGGAAGCAGGTGGCAATCTCTCTCTGTGCTGCCACCTTTCAGCTTATAGGGGTTGGAAACTTCCCACAGGAGCCAAATCCTAAGAAACCCAAGCAGTGAGGGGTCTGCCCTACCTCCCTTGCTCTAGGCAGAGAAATGGATTTATGGGATCACGGCCTCCCCCCCAGGACCTCGTGCTCAGCACACGGCTGACGACAGGCCCAGGGGGCCTGGGGGAAATTCAGTAGGAGGCTCAGTACTGCCTGCAGACCTCTTCTGCTCTGCGCTGGAGGAGCAGGCCCACAGGCCGCCGCTGTCCTGGTCCTCTGGAGCCAGGAGAGCAGAGTCAGGCAGACAGGCGAAGGGAAGCCAGGAGGAGGGTGTGGGGGTAGAGGCTGGGTGAGGTGGAGAGATCTGGGCCCGTCCCCTCCTTCCCAGGCTAGAGCAGCCCCCACCCAGCCCCGGGGTGAGCTGCAGTGAGCAGGTCTGAGGGGAGGGGACAGGAGCAGGGTAGGTGCTCGGGCCGTCTGCACCACACTGCTGCGCCTTCCAGGGCCTCGGTCCACACAACAGCTGCAGCTGATTCAAGAGGCTGACTGCCCGGCCCACGGGACCATGTCTGGCCGGAGCTGCTCCCCAGGTTGCTACCTGGGCCCGTGCTGCCCGGCTGAAGGGGCCCTACCTCCAGCACCGGGACTCAGCGCGGAAGCCCTGGACGTTGTTGTCGCCTCCGATCAGGTACACAAAGTTGTTGAGCACAGCGATGCCCTGGTTGGACATGCGGGGTGCCAGGGAGGCAGTGAAGTGCTTCCACTCGCCCAGCAGCGGGTTCAGATACTTGGCCTGGTCACTGAGGACAGTGGACGGTGTGGAATGGATGCCCCCGAAGCCCACGACACACTGGAAGTCTGACCGCAGCTCAGTCTGTGGGCCCTGCAGGCTGGGCTGTAGGCTCTCGTTGCGGTGGTAGGTGAGGGCAGCGGCCACCGTGTCCCGCAGCGGGCTGGGGTCCAGCCTGTCATGCAGGCGCTGCAGGACTTCGGCCTCCATGAGGGGGAAGCGCACGGTCTCCAGGAGCTTTGGGGGCTCATGCAGCGGGAGCCGGTCAGCCTGCACCTGCTCGGGCGGGTAGTGGTAGAGCAGTGCGCCCTCGTACACCTCTGTCTCGCAGGACACCTCCAGGCGGTTGCTGCTCAGCAGCGAGTACACCTTCTCCAGGGGCAGCTGGCGGTACTTGTCAGTCCGTGAGAAGGCGACGAAGTTTTTGAGGATGTAGGCATCCAGCTGCTCTGTCAGGCGGCTCAGGTCAAAGAGCTCGGCCAGCCGGTAGACGTCCAGGATGTTGTCCTCATCCACCCAGGGTGTGAGGAAGTCACAGCAGAAGTGGATGATTTCCGGGATCTGTGGACAGAAAAGACCCATCAGACCTGAGGCAGAGCACGGAGGCGGGCCCGGTGCTCACAGGCTGGCATCCTCTGCCACTGGCCCAGCTCACACCCAACCCTTCCCTTCTCTGCCCTGGAGGCTGGCTGCCTTCTCCCTGACACACAGGGGACACCCGGGGCTCACCACACCCTGACAAGGCTTAAATCCCAGCTCCAAGCTTTAGTTTTCTCATCCACAAAACAGGGATAAAGTGGAGAGGAACCACCTGGCCCAGGGCGGACCCCCGACGAGCGTCAGCCGCCTTTAGATCCAAAGCACTGGAACCCAACAGGAAGCAGCACCTGGACCGCATCCGCCCCTCCCGAAGCTCTCCCGGGGCCTCTAGAAGACACCTAGCTCCTTTTTCCTGCCACGACCCCCACAACTGCACGCCCAGCGAACCACCAGGCACCCCAGGAGAAGGCCCTGACCCACCTCCCGCTCAGAACTGCCTGCAGCGTGCTCCGAGACCACACCCGGCACCCACCCTGCACCTGACCCAGACCTCCTGAGCAGCTGGAGGGCATCCTGCCTGGGTGGAGGCCCACTGGACTCCCCAGAGTGTGGGGCACCCAGCTGGCCTTCTCTGCATGCAGAAGGGCTGGGCAGGGTGGTGCAAGGACCACACACAGGTGAGAGCTGAGGACTGGGCCGCAGGGTCAGCACAGCCTGGGATTAGGTGACCAAAGCAAGGCACAGGGAAGCCAGGGAAGGTCCGGGCAGGCTGCCCAGGATTGCTAAGTTCTGCAGGATTTTAGAATTTTTCACAATGGGACTCCCTCCCCTACCCAGGACCACCAACAAACAAATCATCACGTGTAGAGTAAGTCAGCTGAACTTCAAGCTTATTAATAAATGCTTAAAATCTTTTTATTTTTCCTGATTCAAGACATTTGGTGCTTGCCAGGTGACAATGAGGGCTGATGGAGGCCTTCAAAGTGCTAGGTGTGTGTCTGCCCCGCCAGGAATGTCCCTATCGCGCTGCTCTTTTAGGTCCTGGAAGTCTCACCTGACCATCCACTCCTCCCTTAGCAGTGCTTCTGCTTGGCCTCCTCTGCCTAAAATACCACCCCGATCTCTCATGGGCCAGGATCCTGAACACCGGCCCTGGCCGCAGGTGAGAGCCAGCAGCCCTGAATGGGCCCTGGAGCAGCTCCTGCTCCCTGGGGCTGTCCTGTCCAGAGTCTTGCCCCTGTTGTCTGAGCAGCAGGGCCTCCGGTGGAGGCTCAGAGAAAGGAACTCATTCACTTGGGGTGACCCAGGGGCCAAGATTCAGACCCACGCCCTGGGGACAGCATGAAAGGCACAGCACATTGGGGGCAGGCCACCAACAGGCATTGGCTATATGAACAAACATGACCTGGCAGGCCTGCGGGCTTGGAGCTGACATGCCAAGTGAAACCTGCTTTAAAAACAACATTGCATAGAAGCCCAGTGTGTTCAAAATAAACCAAAACACAGCCGGGCTGCTGGAGGTGAACAGAGTTCACCTCCCTCCCGTGTGTCCTAAGAGCACTGCTGCCGCGAGCTACGCGGGAGACAGCAGGGCTCTGAGCTATGAGGGCCACCCTGGCTCAGCTCCACCTGCCCACTTGCCGCTGTGACGGCATAGGGGGCTGCGGGGCCCCCCAGAGTCACCCTATCTTCTGAAATCTAAGTCACACTGTCAGAGCCTCAGAAAGCTCCCTAATTCTGTAGGAAAACTAGCACTCAAAGTTCAGTGACAAAGAGGCCCTGGCACCACTGCCCAGCGGCACCGGGGAGACCCGCCTGGGCCTGGGTTTGCCAGCTCAGTCTGGGAGCCTCACCTGAAGCTGGCAGGCGGCGACCAGCGTCTCCTGGACGTTGCTCAGGCTGAGCTCCAGCTCGGATGTGTATATGAAATGCAAGATCTGACACATGGCATTGTAGGACACGCCATGGATCAGAACCTCTTCCTGCTCCATCTCCTTCAAGCCCCCAGCAAACATGCCCCTGCAAAGACAGGACAGGTGGAGTTACACCCACGGGGACACCAGCCCTGCCACAGAGCAGCGGCCCACAGGGCAGGAGCGGGAGGACCGGACGCTGGTTTGTGCTCTGGGTCAGCCCTCGGGAGATGCCCACAAGCTGCTGGGGGCAGGGACCACATCAGGCTGGCTCCCCGCTGCACCCATTAGCATGACTCCTGGACCATCGCAGCCCAGGGCACGCTGTGAAAGGGGGAATGAGCGGGAAACAGTGAAACGCACGAGCTCAGCACGGACTGAAGGGCCAGAACCGCTCACAGAGCTGGTGTAGCCGCAGCTAAGGAGGTGACGAGATTCCTACGTACATGGAGCTTAATGCCAGACAGGACAGCAGACGCGGAAACAGGCATTTCAGGCTGTGGAAATGCTGGGAAGGACAGCGGCAGGGCAATCTGGTTGAGGGGGGCCCGGCTGGGGAGGGGAGCAGGGGGAGAGTGATGGTAGGGCGGGCCCACAGCAAGGACCTGAGAGGGCACCGGAGGATCCAGGCCCTCGGCTGGAGGGTGGTGCAGCAGCTGTGCGGACCAGACTTGGGAGCAGTGGGTGCAAGAGGGCAGCAGGCGTCCCATCCTGGCACCGCCAGTGCGGGGTGCCAGGGGACACCCAGCGGAGATGGTGACCTTAGTCAGGTGTCTGCAGGGAAGAGGCTGGCGGCTATGGGAGGCATCGGGGCTGAAATGAGACAGCAACACGGAGATGATGGGAGAGTGGCTATTTTTATATTGTTTATATTCTGGCTAGGTCACACACACACACACATGAAACACAGGAAAGGGTGAAAGTCTCACTTCTTCCTCTGCTCTGGCCACCAGTCCCCCTCCCCAGGGAGGCACCATCCTGGGAGGCAGGCACATGCCTAGTTCTGCTTGTGGCTTTGACTCCACAGTACACCCTAGCAGGGGCTGTAATCAGGACACACAGCGCCCCCTTCTGTCAAGGTGACCGCACTGATTCAGCCCCTCATGCTGGGGTCCACCTGGGTTACCATCACCTCCCATCATCTGCCCAATGGACGGTCCTGCCCTGTGAACTCTGTTGGTATGAACGGAAGGATTCATTCCAGGATGGAACGTGCTGGACGAAGGGGTCTGTACACTCACGCTGGGACAGCACTGCCGCCGCAGTCACGGATGCCCCCGGGGTTGGGGGCGGGTGCCTGCTCCACACCCTCAGAACCCAGAGACTCCAGCCCAGCCACCCCGAGGAGAGGGAGAAGCTGCGTGACCAACTGGACAGGACCTGTCTGTTGTCACAGGCTTAGGAGCCGTCTGGACATTCTTTTCTAAACAGTCCAGACGCTGTGCCCGTTTTCTGTCGGACTCTGTCTCATCAATTTAAAGAAGCTTGTTTCCTCCTGGATGAGTTGAATTTCTTTCTTTAGCTTGAATCTTGTGAGTTTATGATGCTGTCAGCCATGCAGAAGTTTGCAGACTTTGAATAAGAACTTACCGTTTTCTTTTTTGCCTGTGAATTTTGTGTCAAACCTAGAAAGGCTCTCTCCTTCCGAGATGTCCTTAAAAACATTTCCTCTCGTTTTTTCATTTCATCTTTCACAACTAAAATTGTCAATCCACCTGAAATTCATCTTGGGGCAGGTGTGAAGCAGGGGTCCAGCTTTGCCTGTTTCCAGATGGCGCCCGGGGACGCACCTTCACTCCAAAGTTCCGGACAGTCTGTGTCTGCTTCCAGGCTTCCCGTCCTTTCCCAGAATGCTCTGGGCTCTGAGCACCGCAGCCGTTTCAGCCGCCGCAGCTTCATGGTGTGGGCAGCCAGTCCACTTTTGTTACCTGGTGCTCAACAAGCTCCTCGCCCTTGCTTGCCTTTTAAAGTCTAGACTTCAGAACCACTATGTGCAGGGAACCCTCTTGGCATTTTCACTGGGACCACATTGCACACCTAGACTGGGGTGGAGAGCTGGTACCTGTGTCGTGGGCGTGGTGGGCCTTCCTGTGGCCAAGCCAGCCTCTGGGTCTCCTGGCGGTCTTGCAGGGCCAACTCCCCACAGACCTACTCGGGCAGGCACGTCACTCCACACTCAGCCCCTCGGGGAGCTTTCCCAGGTCCAGATGGCTCTCCTGCACTCTGCTGGTGGTGCTGTGCCTGCAGGGTGTGACCCGACCACACCGACAGCAGAGGGGGGGACCGCAATGCTGGCATGCTGATCACCCCCGAGCAGGAAGCGGGTGACAGATCAACTCAGCTGCGTTTAATCATCTTAAGAAAGGACCCACACATCTTGAAGACCTTAACCAGATCCTGAGTGAGGGGGGAGTGAGGAGATGTAAGACATTTTGCGGATAATTAAGAATATCCAAGTATGAACTTAATATCAGAAAAAATTATGGAATGACTATAAATTTTCTTAAGACTGATAATGGTATCGTAGATATTCTGGAGAAGATCCTTATTCTCAGAGGTGCACTGACGTATTTCAAGATAAACTGTCGTATTTCACAACTTACTCGGAAGTGAACACACATGGCAAAATGGAAACAGCGGATGACCTGGGCGCAAGGCACAGGGGGACCCGTCTTTCATCTCTTCTGTAGGACTGACATCTTTCAAAGTCAGTTAGGGAGGAAAAAAAGGCCAGAAGAAAAATAAAACATATATCCATTCCTCTTTTTTTTTTGCTCTTAACCCAAAGTGGATGTTTAATATTTTATGATATTTTTACCACTTTTCGATAATTCTGAAATTACGCCAAAATAAAAACATAAGCTGGAAAAAGATTTTTAGTAATGTTCATACCTCAACACCCATTAAGATGGCCAGTATCAGAAAAGCAGAAAACAGCAAGTGTTGGTGGGATGTGGAGAAACGGAACCTTTGTGCGCTGCTGGTGGGAATGGAATTTGTTGCAGCTATTCTGGAAAATAGTATGGAGATTTCTCAAAAAATTAAAAACAGAATTGCCATATGATGCAATAATTCCACTTCTAAGTATATACTCACAAGAACTGAAAGCAGGGTCTCGAAGAGATATTTGTACACCCACATTCATGGCAGCATTATTCACAACAGCCAAGAGGGGGAAGAACCAGAGTCCACCAACCAATGAAGGAAAAGCAGAATGCAGCGCATACAAACAACGGAGTATCACTGAGCCTTACAAAGGACGGGGATTCTGAGGCAACAACACGGATGAACCTTGGGGACACTGTGCTAACCGAAAGAAGGCAGTCACCAAAGGACAAATTTTGCATGACCCCACTTATATGAGGCCCCTGGCGCAGTCAAGTTCATAGAGACAGAGGGGAATGGGGGCTGCCAGGGGCGGGGAGGAGGGGGTGGGGGATGCTTAGTGGGTACCATTTCAGTTTTACACGATGAGAAAGTTCTGAAGATTGGATGCTCAAGAATGTGAACATAATTAACACTACTGAGCCATACACTTAAAAATGGTTGAGGATAAATTTTATGTTTTTTAAAATCAAAATTAATTAAAAAAAAAAGGATGTTCACCAAGTGCCCACCAGCAGGGCAACAACCGTGTGAGGGGAAGGCACACTGACCACAGAGCACAAGGCCCCCTCTACCGCCAGGATGTCACAGCCACATGTCACAAAAGCAAGCAAGCAGCCTCTGACTTAAGGTGGGGACAGCATTTCCTGTGTCAGCTTGTTCCAGCCCTCAAACCCCCGCCCAAAGCCTGAGGCCAGGTGTCTCATCCAACTGGAGAAAGACTGTGTCTGTGCCTTCTGTGATGTTCTGTCCCCACACCGGGCCTAGGTCAGGACCCGAAGTCCCAACACCATGATATTTCCAAAGCCAAATGTATAAAGACCCACACAGCACGGTGGAAAAAAGAAAAGCAGTCTCATTATCAGTTCAGGGTGGGTTTCATGGCTTGATCAATTTGCGCCAAACTTATATTTTTAAAAAATGGGCGGGGGGAGGGCAGCGGGTATACCTCAGCAGTAGAGTGTGTACTTAACATGCACAAGGTCCTGGGTTCAATCCCCAGTACCTCCAAAACTTAAAAAATAAAAACCAGGGTTGGGAGGGTATAGATCAGTGATAGAGTGTGTGCTTAGCAGGCACAAGGTCCTGGGTTCAACCCCCAGCACCTCCATTCAAACAGTAAGTAAGTAAACAAAGCTTATTTAAAAAACCCCCAAAACCTGGCGACATTGGAGAACCTAACTCCTACCCCCTCAGCCCCCACCTCAAAGATAAAACGACTGGACACACTGGACAGCCATCCACAAACAAAACAGTTCTAGGAGGACACTCTGGAGGTTTTAGCAACACAGGGAACAAAACAAAACCACCCTGAGTCTCAGCTTTGAGGGTGTGAGAATTCCAAACCAGGAGACAGAACGGATGAAGAGGGCTGACCAGCTACCGCGGGCGCAGCAGGTGGGGCGGGCAGGGGTACAGAGGTGCTTTCAGATTTCTTCTTATTTAGAAAGGGCTTCAGCTGCAGGAATGACACTGGACATTATCACACGCCCACCATGTGTCTGGATGGCCACCTGCCAGGTTGCCGAGCGCTGACAGATGCCTCACATCAGAGAAAGGGTTCCTAACTTGGAACCAGCCATCCTTCCAAGAACAAGGCCCAGCAGGCGGGGGTCCCCCTGAGCACCTCACCCTGTCACCCACAACGAGCTGCAGCCTCCTGTGTGCTGGCCGCACCCTGCACAGCAGACGAGGGCTGCCACCCGACCCTGCACCGGGCCGCTCAGGACTCCACTGCAGGGCCTGGCCGCGCACCCCCCACAGCCCCCTTCACCCTTGTCCACATTAGCGAGGGAAAGGCGGCACCCGCACTGCCCCTGAGGAATGGCAGTGTGACAGTGTCAGGATGGCCTGCGGGGAGAGGAGACCCCCGAGGGCTTCAAGGGTGCGTCCAGGAGGCCCTGAGTGGGGAGGACCCCAGTGCTGAACCTTCTGGCCCCAAGTCCTCCCCACAGCCCTGTCCCACCCACGGGCCTGCCTGTTTCCCAAAGCCTGTACAGGCAGAAACCCCCACACATGGAAGGGACACTGCTGTCCCTGCACACGTCTGCCCCAAGGTGGCACTGACCACTGGGTCACACACCCCATGAACTCCTGGGGAACAGGAAGCACTTAAACCATAAAGAAATGTTTTGCTCAACAGTTCCTAGAACAAAAAAGTGAGAAGTACAACCAAGACTTGAAGACAAAACAACCAAACAGAACGGGAGCTGAAACAGAGGGTCTCGGGCTCGGAGCTCTGCTCAGCCCTGCCAGCAGCCGCTGGGGGGACTCGTGCCACCAGCTCTGCCCAAGGTGCCCCATGCTGGGCTGAGTCACACAGGAGAAGGGCCCCTCAAGGAGGGTGGGAAGCCGGGACTCCGAGGGGTGAGACGATGTGACTAGGACATGGGTGGCCAAGAAAGGGAGCAAACAGGGGCAACCGTGCACATCGCGAGGCTGCGGAGACGGCACATGTTTGGTACTGAGCACCGCCTCGCTCACAGAGGTCCCAAGAGGTGCCCTGGGCTGTGTGGGCTTACTGCCCATTACAGAAATGCTGTAGGGGGGCGACTAAGGCATAAACTGTCACAATGTCTTCCAAAAAAGGTGTGTGCTACAAAGGCAGAGAAAGCAAATGTGGCCAAATGGTGACAAGTGGTGTCCAGGTGGTCACGATACTGTTCTTTCAACGTTGCCGTGGATTTGAAATGCTTTTTAATGAAATGATGGGAAACCAGAGTACAGTAGAAGAAAATCTCAGAGTTAAAATGTCAGGTTATTTGTCATTATTAGGTCGTCATTTAAAAGTGAGGTTCCTTTCCACTTCTGTCCCAGCAGTAAAGCTACAGGATGGGGCAGTCACTGGTTCTCTTCCGCTCTGTTCTCCTCAGTGGGCAGGAGCCAAGAGAAGTCACTGTTCTGGGACCAAAGTAAGCATTTCCAGAAAAGGGAAGGTATTGTTTTTAAGTTTCCCCATTAAATGTGGGCAGTTCTGTTAGTGTAACTCTCTCATCAGTAGATGGGAAAACCTCACTGATAAAATGAAGCTGCGTGTTTGTGCCGGCGCACAGACTGACTAGGTTCATGAAGTCTGTCCACTCTGTTCCTGTGGCAAAGCAATGGGGTAGGCCTAGCACAGAATGCAACTGCTATCAAAGCTGTTTTATACCAGGAGTGGGAGGGTATGCTCACTGGTAGAGAGCGTGCTTAACATACACAGGTCCTGGGTTCAATCCCCAGTCCCTCCACTAAACCTAATTACATCTCCCCCACCAAAAAAAATTGTTTTATATCTTTAGAGTGTCTTATTAAAGTGTAGATTTATTTCTTAAGATGTGGGTGATAAGAATTTTAAGGATTTACATAATGCTCCAAAAGCCCTTACAATACTTCTAAGAAAAGGATTTTTAAAAATTGGTTTCCGTATGTACTCGACTTCTTAAAACTTTCCTATAGCTGAAACACCAGGATTTATCTGCAGGGTTGCAGAGAGATAATCCTGCCTTAAACAGACTGAAACAAAGTAGAAAGAAAATCTGTTTCACACTGACATACTGAACTTACAGCAGAAAATTAATTTCCTAAAATGCAGTATTACAAGTAAAGCTGAACACATTGTCTTTGAAAGAAAAGGGGAAAAGACGACATGCCCTAGAGCTAGGACAGCTGATAGAAAAACATACCCTGAGACCCCTGTCACAGTGAGCAGCGGGAGGAGCCCAGGGTGAGCCCACCGGCCGGTGGAGGTCAGTGCTGACAGGTCCACCTAGCAGAGCTGGCACCACTCACGGCCTTATTGTGCGGACTCACCGGAAGTAATCACAGGACGCAGCCAGCAGGATGCGATGGGCCTCGATGTGTCTCCCCTCCACCACCAGGACGACGTCGAAGAGGATGCCGCTGTCCCGGAGAGCCAGCAGCCCCCGGAGCAGGGCCTGTGAGTGCTGTGCGCTCCGGTAGGTGTTGCTGACGCAGTGCGGGTGGGAGGGCTGCGTGGGCAACTTGCAGAGCTGGGCGAACTCCTGCTCCTCCGCCATCCTGACCGCAACTCCGGACCTCAGCACCGCGGCTGTCAGCTGGCAGGGCACATGGCAGGGGACTGAGCCTGGGAGGCAGCACCGGCAGGTCACCGTGCTCGCTCCTGTCCCTCTCTCCGCTCACCTGTGGTCCCGAATCTGCTAAGTCCCTCTCCCCTCCCACCACTGTCCAAATCAGGGGCCTCTTCGTCCTGATGGGTGTCCCTTCATTGCCAAGATTCTTCTCTCCATTTTATCTCCTTCCACATCCCGTGAACAGAAGGGTTCTGGAGACAGACCGCCTGCGGTTGGTCCCCTACCCAGCAGAGACTCACTGCATGCCTAACCCGCATGTCATCAGGCTCAGCTGGGAAAAGCGAAATACAAGCCCCCAGCCCCTTGGGACATCCTAGAATTCCTAAAGGACCAGAGAGAAGCACCAGCACAGACTAGTGCTCCCTCTGCTACTGGGAGAGAACACTGCGTTCCCCTACACAGGAAAGGATGCAAAAATTGACAGCAGGTCCAAGGGGCCGTGGAGGGGAGGGTTTTAAGCCCTGCCTTCTCTGACCAAGATTCTGAGTCAAGTACATTTGAGATTGTCTGCATCGTGCTTTAAACTCAAGCATACTTTCTAATGATTGAGTCAGTATGTTCAAAAAAGGCAAACAGATTTGAAAAGGGGCCTCAGAAACCCAGTTAGTAAAACCAACTATTGCAAACACATCTTAGAACCAACCAGAAATGACAGTGGACAGCTGGCTGCTCGGGGTCGGGGGCACCAAGCTGCGGGGCCCGGCTGCTCCCTCTCCTGGCCACAGCACCACCTGCCAGCGAGGCACCTGCCACAGGCTGTGAACGTCTGCCCTCCCCAACTCATGTCCCTCCATTATCCCCCTGTCAATGTGTTCTTCAATTCCTACTGAACCATTACGGGGAAAAATATGAAAAACAGATTCTACTGTAAAACAAAAACTGTATTATGAAACTTAGCTTTGCCTCCCACTTATGACCCCCGACCAGATCCTGTCCCAGAAAAAACTACTTTCCCACTGCTGTTCCAGGTGGCATCTACGCTTTTGCAGGCAAATCTCTAAAACTACATTCCCCTCCTTATTAACTTTTGTACATGATAATTTCACATCCTCCCCTCAGTCGAAGGTATAGATAACTATTTTATTTAACCAGTTCTTTTCAGAGAGACAGCTGGGTTTCCTCTAATTGTTTGCTATTGCCAACATTTTTGCACTTAAAGTCATTTAGCTTTGCCATATATGCAGCAGTTATCTAAGGAAAATTTCCTAGACACAGGCTGCTGGATCATTTCAATCTGAATGTATAGCTGACATTTTAACAGCTATTGCCAAGTCACCCTCCTTAGAGGTTGTACCAATTTATTCTCCTACCAGCAAAGTGTGAGACTGGATTCCAACCACTGTCTAGCACACCAATAGCTCCCTTTTCAATCTTTGCTGACTTCACACACAAAGAACAGCCTTTCACAGTGTAACTTCCTTTTGGTAATTGACAAATTTTCAAAATATGAAAAGTTAAGTGAAATGCTGCAGATCCTTTGTAATCCCTGCCTATGCCTCCCTGGCACCCTCGACCACCTATTCATTTTCCACGGGTTGCTCTACCATGAAGCCCTTCCATAGATTAAGCTCCCTCCGGCCCCATGACATTCCTGATTCTGGTCTTCACAAGCAAGTCTGTGTTCAGTGCTGCTCAGAGCCTTAGAGGGAGCAGGAAGGCATCTGGTCCCAAGTAGGTACAAAGGGAAGGACATAAAATGAATTTTCCTTAACTCATGGATGACAAAGCCGGACACATTTCTGCAGAACGTTCAACTCAACGCTATCTACTGAGTAGGCATCCCCGTCCTCTGCAAAGCCCCAAACACTGTCTGCCCTCCACGAAGCCCAATCCTTGGCAGCACGAAGCAAGCAGGTCCGCAACAAAGGGAACGGGGGTCCCACTTCCCAGAGGGCGGCCTACGCCAGTGCGGGCTGGGATGCGCCCCGGAGCATCTGGGCTCGCAGGCCGGAGCAGGGCTAGGAGGCGCCCCGCGGCGGGGCCGGGATTGGGAGCAGGCGGACCGGCAGCGGGCGCTCCGGGACGAGTCGTCGCACTGACA